CCTTTGACTGTGTGGACCACAACAAACTATAGCAAGTCCTTAAAGAAATGGGAGTGCCTGACCACCTTATCTATCTCCTGAGAAACCTATATGTGGGACAGGAAGCAACAGTTAGAACTGGATATGGAACAACTGATTGGTTCAACACTGGGAAAGGAGTATGACAAGGCTGTATATTGTCTCCCTGCTTCTTTAACTCATATGCAAAATACATCATGTGAAAGGTTGGACTGGATGAATCCCAAGCCAGAATTAAGATTGCAGGAAGAAATATCGACAACCTCCAATATGCAGATGATACCACTCTGATGGCAGAAAATGAGGAGGAATTAAAGAACCTCTTAACCAGGGTGAAAGAGGAGAGCACAAAAATGGTCTGAAGCTCAACATCCAAAAAACTAAGATCATGGCCACTGGTCCCATCACCTCCTGGCAAATAGAAGGGGAAGATATGGAGGCAGTGACAGATTTTACTGTCTTGGGCTCCATGATCAGTGCAGATGGTGACAGCAGCCACGAAATTAAAAGACGCCTGCTTCTTGGGAGGAAAGCAATGAGAAACACAGACATCATCTTAAAAAGCAGAAACACCACCTTGTCAACAAAGAAGATCAAGCCTATTCATTTTGAAGGAAATCCCACCTTGCCAACAAAGGAGATCAAACCTATCCATTTTGAAGAAAATCAACCTGAGTACTCACTGGAAGCTGAGGCTCCAATACTTTGGCCATCTCATGAGAAGAGAAGACTCCCTGGAAAAGCCCCTGATGTTGGGAAAGTGTGAAGGCAAGAGGAGAAGGGAGACGACAGAGGACGAGATGGTTGGACAGGGTCATAAAAGCTGCCAGCATGACCTGAGCAAACTACAGGAGGCAGTGGAAGACAGGAGGGCCTGGCGTGCTCTGGTCCCTGGGGTCACAAAGAGTGGGCCACACCTAAACAACAACAATTTGTTTGGTCCTTCTTAAACATTTATATACTTACTGTTTTGAGCCTTTAAATATTGTCTTTCAATGATGTAAGCCATCTTGGGTTCTGTTTAAGGAGAAAGGCAGAATAAAAATATTTTAAATAAATAAATAACTACTCCTTAGGACTGTTATGATGAAAGTAAGTATGTACAGTACTTCAAAATACATTATCTGCTCTGGCATGCTCTAGTCCATGGGGTCACGAAGAATCAGACACGATTTAACGACTAACGACTGTTATGATGAAAGGAAGTATGTACAGTACTTCAAAATACATCATTATCTGCTCTGGCATGCTCTGGTCCATGGGATCACGAAGAATCAGACATGACTTAACAACTAAACAACAACAACCAGCTTGCACAAGATCAGGAAAGATAGTAGGTTGAAGGACTGGCGTGCATTTGCTGAAAGAGGGGTAAATCACATTGAGGAAGAATGAGGCAATGATACTGCAGGTTTCTTTGCTTGGGAAGATAAGTACTGTAGTAATTGGAGCTAGCCCTGGTAAAGACATATTGCTGCCAAGCTGGCTAGGCCTCATCTTGAGTACTGTGTCCAGTTCTGTAGGTTTCTTTGCTTGGGAAGATAAGTAGTAATTGGAGCTACCCCTGGTAAAGGGTTGGTTCAAGACATTTTGCTGCCAAGCTGACTAGGCCTCATTTTGAGTACTGTGTCCAGTTCTGGATGCCACACTTCAAGAAGGATGCTGACAAATTGGGACAAGTCCAGAGGAGGGCAACAAGGAGCATCCCTATCAGGAAAAACTGAAAGAACTGGGCCTGTTAAGCCTTGAGGGGTAATTGGATAGCACTTTTCAAATACTTGAAAAGCAGTGATACAGAGCCAGGGCAGGACATGTTCCCAATAATTTCAGAATACATGACATGTAATAATGGGCAGAAGCGACAGGAAGCCAGATTTAAGCTGGATATCAGAGCACTTTTCAAATACTTAAAAAGCAGTCATACAGAGCCAGGGCAGGACATGTTCTCAATAATTTCAGAATACACGACATGTAATAATGGGCAGAAGCTACAGGAAGCCAGATTTAAGCTGGATAGCAGGGAAAAAACTTCTTAACTGTTAGAGCAGTACGACAACGGAACCAATGACCTCGGGAGATGGTGAGCCCTCCAATGCTGGAGGAATTCCAGAGAAAATAGGACAATCACCTGTCAGATATCGATTTGTGTTTTTGCCTTGAGCAGAGGGTTGGACTGGATGGCCTTAGAGGCCCCTTCCAACTCCATTATTCTATGAATCGCTGGCACTCCCTGCCCATTCCATGCTTCTTCCCCCACCAGCACCGGTCTCCTCAGGATATGACCTCCTTCTGCCTATCGGTTGGGCTGGCCTTGCTCCTTGCCAGCCATAGAAAAGGACAGAGATTGAATACTTTCACCCATTGATTCAATAAGGAAGGGCTTGTTGTGTTTTCTCTCCACCCCCAACTTCACACCCTCACACTTACCTTTTCTCTCTGTTTTTCGCAGCTTAGTCAATACATCTCCTCCTATTCCCGTGGCCGTTGCAAGGCGAAATATTTTGTTTTCGATTCCTGCCAACCACCCGCGCGCTCTCAAGAGCCATCCCTTTTAGCTGGGCTTTCTCCTACCCTGCGCTCTGCGAAGGGCTTTCTATTTATTAGCTCATCGATTCTCTCCGTAACGGTTAAAATCTTTAATTACACTTTAGCTACCTATTTTCTTCAGGGAGGACTAACGCAGTTCCCGTCAAGCCTGCCAACCCGCCCGCCTTTGAATACACTGGTTCTCCTCCTGAGAAGCCGGGAACCATTTCGGACTTTTAACAAGCCTAGAGGTCGGGAACAGATTTGACCCCCACTGAGCTAATAATGCAATCCTGAATGGGATAAAGAGGCTCCTAGAGGTCAAGCGGAGATCCTATGCAAAGGGAGATGGGTCAGCAGAGTGGGCCAGATTATTTTCCTGTGTCACCAAAGTGCCCTCTGGTGACATCCATCTTTTGGGACCATCTACACAGTACTGCCCACGCCTCCCGGTTCCTTAGCATCTCGCATTCGCTTCCCTCCTGCACCACCACGCTAGCCCAAACGCTGGGTAGATGCGCTTGCCGCTTGGGGACTCAGCGTCCCATTTTGACGGGAGACACGGAAAAGGCAGTAAAGGGTGACAGCTGCTGACAGGGCAGTGTCTGTTTCAGGTCAAGGAGGGAGGGGAGGAGATTGGGAAGAAGAAATCCTTATGGGACTGGTGTCTAAACCAGTTCAGCCTCTTCCTTGTGCTAGGCCAAACTGTTTCAGCTACAGAGGGATTTTTCTTTTTTAAACAGAGGTCGAAATACTCTTGTTTCTCAACCATGGCCGATCTTGATCGATAAACGCTGGATGCTAAGATGCATAAACAAAGCAGCGCTTATTATGAGCAAAGTGGCATGCAGCAAAACCATATTTGATATGTCAGGCAGTATAATGCCAGCTGCCAGTTAGCTGTCAGACATGGTCCTAAAGCAGTTCCCCCCCAGGAGCCCAAACGTAGAAGTCGATACGGCCTTTGCTGAGAAAGGGACCCTGTCATTTCTGTGCAAAACCATGGACACAGCCTGGACAAACCCTTTATTAATGTGTTCATTCGGATTCCCGCTCAACCCTTGTCCCGATGGCTCAGGGCAAATAACAACATAAGCATCGCATAAATGCAGTCCAGAAGTAAGATTCATTTAATGCAATGAATCAGCTGCCTGTCAAAGGGATACAGGGTTTGTGGCCTAAATGTGACTTTTTCTGCATTTTATTTATATCTCGCAGTTCATCCAGTATGCGGAACACAGCCCTCCGCGTCCCCATTTTGTCCTCACAAGAAGCCTACTAAGTAGGTCAGGGCGACTGGTCTGAAGTTACACCGTGAGTTTCATGCTGGAGTTGCCAAGCACGCTAACCAGTACACCAGACTGCCTCTCAATCTGGTGTGTTGGTTAGAGTGCTTGGCAACTCCAAGCACTCTAAATTAATGTTTAAACGAGATTATGCACAGCTCATGGACTGAGTCTGTATGGGGTGAGAGGTGGGGGAACAAACTTTCCCCACGAAACCCCCATTTGTTCTAGAAGTCAAATAAAGCAGTGCCCCGGATTCAAAAGCATTTTCATTTACTAAGTATTTTTTTTTCAGGAAAGGGGGGTTGTGAGAATAGGATAGGAGAGCAAAACAGTGTAGAAATGCTGAAAGTTCCCTTTATGTCCTGTCTTCACACATACCCCATGACAACACCTCCCTCCTTCCCTTGTTGCCGTATCGTACATATTTGCTCAGAAATAAACCACTGTCCTTTCAATTAAATGTACTGCCCCCAAAATTGGCCTGTGTCTCTCAGCTGCTTTTAGACTTAAAAAAAACTGTGAGCAATTAGCAGGGGGGGCGGTTTGGGCTGAAGCCACAGATCAAAGCTTGTAGCTTAGCCAAAGTTATCTTCCCATCTTCCTGATTCCCCATCCTCTGTGCTGTGAAACTTATTCCTTAGCTTTCCGGGTCCATCTCCCTCCCCTTATCATCATCCTCTTTTTGATCTTTACCCCACCCACATAATACACTTTGCTAGTCCTTTTAAATCCTCTCCCCAGTTCCTTCCTGAATTCCTCCGATGGCTCTCCAGAATATTCTGGGACTGAATCGTGGGCCACCAGGGCCCCGCTGGCCTTGGCCACCACCATGCGGAATGGTAGTCCGGCCGCCCTTCCTGTTGTCCCACGGCACCACCACGCTGGCCTTCCGGTGCGACCACGGCGTGGTGGTGGCGGCAGATACCCGCTCCTCCTGTGGTGGCCTCGTGTCGGATCCGGCCTCCCGGAAAGTCATGATCCTCCATTCTCACCTCCTAGCGACCACATCTGGGACCTCGGCCGACTGCGCCACGTGGCTCCGGCTTCTGCGCTGCTCTTTACGCCTGAGGCAGCTGCAGGAAGGACGACAGCCCAGCGTGGCCGGGGCGGCCAAGCTGCTGGCTTTCCTGCTGCGTGGATGCCGCCACCGAGACCTGTGCGTGGCTACTCTGCTCTGTGGCTGGGACCACACAGGGCCCAGCTTGTATTACGTCTACAGTGATGGGACCTGTCTTTCTGGGGACGCCTTTTCTGTCGGCTCCGGGTCCCCCTACGCTTACAGCGTGATCGATGGGGCCTATCGCTATGACCTGCCACGGGACGAAGCTTTCCTGCTGGCCCGCCAGGCTGTAGGCCACGCCGCCCACCGAGACGCCTACTCCGGGGGCAACGTAGATCTGTACCACGTCCAACCAACGGGCTGGGTCTGCCTCTCCCGGGAAGATCTGAGCGAAGTCTATCGTGGCTTGAGGCCAACGGTGTACGAGGAAAAGGATGACGAATACGAGGAAAACCGAGAAGACACGACTGCTCTGGACTGAAGACGTTTCTGGCTGTTCTAGCCCAGCACATCAGTCATACAGTTTTTAAAAAATCATTAATTTCTATCTACCAACAGAGAACAAAGTGTGGATTGGGGCCGCATACAAATAAAGAAACGGGCCGATTGAAAGCGGCCCTGACTATCTTGCGACAGAAGAAACAAATACCAGTTTTGATGAAGAGCCATGAATCAAAAGAAGTAATTCATCCGGGTGGTGGGGAAAATAATGTGTATGGCTTATGAGAAGCCAGCTTGAGTCGGCGTAAACCAGCATGGGACAGATTATGTCAGGATGCAACAGATGGCAATGCGGCATACATGACGGCAGGAGGGGGTGGGAATCTCTGGGCCAGTGCAAACCAGTACGGCACCGGCTCTGCCAGTTTGGAATCCCGGAGAGAGGGTAGCGCTCGGTGGAGGTCCCACAGAGACCAACATACGGCCCCGATAAACCAGGCAAAGCGGACCATTTTAGATGTCCACAAACCAGCATCAAGATGGGGTTGGCGAACCCCTGATCAAGAAAAAAATAGGCCAAGATTCATTGGTTTCCACCGCTGAGAGTGAGTCGACACAGCAGGATCTGGGGGAAAAAACACACACACAACAAGCACATGATGACTTTGGGAGTCTGCACTCAAAACGGTTCGTGCTTCGCCTGGACGGACCAGTGCATGGAGGCAGGCACCCGATGCAACTGGAAAGGGTGGGCGCCCAGTGAGCAGGTGGCTGGGCTCCTTTGTGTTGTGATAAATGAATGGCGCCTGGAACCAGGCTTTCGATGACTCCTGCTCTCCTCCCCTTCCCCGGTTGCTGGGAAAGGCAGCAAGCAGCCAGCAGAGATAAATACACCTTTATCTCTCCGTCGCTGCCCGTATCTCATTCCATCTTGCCGCCTGGATGTCCTTCGGCCCAGCCCGCCTCGCCATCCCTCATCTCATTACGTTCTCCGGAGGGCTTTGTCTGCCGTCGCCGGGAGCGCTCCCCGTATCTCTCCCCTCTTATCTCCAGCGCCGCCGCCGGATGAAAATAGCTCCCCAGTGGAAAGAGTGGGAAGTTTGGGAACAGTTCCCCCCACCACCACCTCTTTTGGGGGGGGGGCGGTGGAGGGACTATAACTCCTATAACCCCCCCCCAATTTAGCACAGCCAGGGATCAGAACTCAGGAGTTTATTGGGGGGGGGACTCAACACCCAGGGTCCCCCTAGACTTGGGAGTAAGCCTGGAAAGTTTTTTTTTTAAATTGACAATGCCCATCGTCCTCTAACGGTTAGGGGAGGATGGGCATTGTCAATCCAAACTAACCAACATAGCCTTCAATCGGAGCATGGGTGGCAAAGTTCCTTTTTGGGTTTGGGCCGGGGGCGCCGGG